ATCGCAAGTGAGTATTGCCTTTAATTCCTTAAAATGACTTAATCAGTATGAAATTCTTAACAAGTTGATTCTGTAATATACTGTGGCGTCTTAAAAATATTTGCATTTTATTCATATTTCTTGTACTTGTTACAAAGGTTCATTTACTGCAGACGCCCGTAGATAATTGTTTGTTTGTTACATTGCTTTGATGTATGATGTAGTTCTGTACTTTTGTTTATATGTAAGTGGGTTGATATTGATGCTAACTGTAATTTACCATGACGGTAATGGTACAAGCAAATGGAAGGAAAGGAATTCTGGTAGCCAAAATGCAAAGTATGAATATTTTCCAAATATATATTTGTATATATATATAATTTTTTTTTTTTTGAGATGGTGCAAAGATGAAGACTATTTTAATGTTTCAATCTGTTTAGAGACTTGAAACATTGGAAACTTAGTTTTAAAGTAATGAAATTAATGGTTCCACCGGCCGATAAATGGCGTTCACAGTATATGACCGGCAGCCGGGCAGAAAGTAAATCAGTATATGAATATGCAATAGGTTGACAAATTGTATTCCTAGTAAGTTTTACAGAGTAGTTATAGTTTTCAAGTTCTAAACAAATCTCATAGGAATTAAAGATTGTGACACATTGATAATGATAAGATAAGACATAAACTATCAATAGGTTGCTGGTAGGTCAGTTAGTATAGATCATCTATGTACTGTCTTTTAGTACTTCTTTATGAAAGTATGATGGGCAGATGTTTAGTTTAGGAATGTTATTATAACATGATTTTGTTGTTGTTGTTATTATTGTATTAATATTGTAATCATCATTGCTGTTATTATTGTAACTTTGAATATTATTACTGTCATCATTGATTTTATTACTGCTGTAATTATTGTTGTTATTGATTATTATTAATGATATTGTTATTTTATTATTATTATTATTATTGTTTTTGTCGTTATTGTTATTAATATTGTTATTATTGTTATTAATATTGTTATTATTGTTAATAGTATTATTAATATTATTATTTTCATTATTATTATTGTTATTGTTATCATTATCATCATCATTATTATGATTTGTAGTATTGTTATTAATGATAATAGTAATAATTTTGTTATTGTTTTTTTCTCATTGTCATTATTATTGTTGTTATTTATGTTGTTATGATCATTATTGTTATTATCGGTATTATTATTATTGCTATTATTATTTATGATAATGATAGTTTTATTAATAATAGTGATATTATTATTATGATTATGATTTTGTTATTATTATTATTGTTGTGAGCATTGTTATTATCATGATTGTTATTATTATTATTATTATTGCTATTATTATTATTGTTATTATTAATATTATTATTATTATTGTTGTTGTTGTTGTTACCATTATTATTATTACTATTATTGTTATTGTTATTGTTATTAATATTAGTATTATTACAATCTTCATCATCATCATCATTACCGTTATCATTAATGTCATTAATATTATTATTATTATTGTTATTATTATTATTATTATTATTTTATTATTATTATTATATTGTTATTGTTTTTTGTTATTACTAACATTATAATAATGATAATAATTATTATAACCATTATTAATATCATTATTATCATTATTATCATTATCATTATTTTTGCCAGCAGTGTTCATTATCATTATGATTATTATTTCATTGTTTTTGTTTTTTTATATTTATATTGTTATTATTAATATTACTCTTGTAATAATTAACTTTTGTTGTTGTTATCAGTAATGTTCGTATGGTTATTATTATATTTATTATAGTTAATTGTTATTATAGTTATTCTTAGTATTGTTACTTTTATTGTACAATTAATATTATTGTATTTTTAATATTAATTCTGTTATTTTTTATTATTGTTGTTGTTGCAGTATTTGTTGTTATTATTATTATTGATATTATTGTTATCATCTTTATTTTTGTTATTATTATTATTATTATTATTATTGTCATTGTTGTTGTTAATATTGTTATTATTATCATCATTTTATTATTATCTTTATTGTTATTTTTATTTGGTTGATTTTATGATTGATTGAATTTTGGCATTGTTATTGTAATTGTTATTGTTATTGTTATTTTGTTTACTGTTAATATAGTAATAGTAATAATGTTATTATTGTTTGTTTGTTTTCATTTGATTAATTTAAAGTTTATTTATTTTCATATAGAACACCTTGCTACTCATGGCAAAACGATTAGCTGTATCTGAAGATATGCCTTGGTATTTAATTGAACTTTACCTTGTAAGGGCATAATGGTAGTGGTTAGGTATCCTATATTTTACAGACACACACACACACACACACCACACACACACACACACACACACACACAACACACACACACACAACACACACACACACACACACACACACACACAACACATACACACACATACACACACATACACACACACACACACACACAACACACACACACACACACACACACACAC